GTGATATTTCGACATGTTAGTCTTGGGATATTTCGACATTTTAGTCATGGGATATTTCGACATTTTAGTCTTGGGATATTTCGACATTTTAGTCTTGGGGATATTTCGACATTTTAGTCTTGGGGATATTTCGACATGTTAGTCTTGGGATATTTCGACATTTTAGTCTTGGGGATATTTCGACATTTTAGTCATGGGATATTTCGACATTTTAGTCTTGGGATATTTTGACATTTTAGTCTTGGGATATTTCGACATTTTATTCTTGGGATATTTCGACATTTTAGTCTTGGGATATTTCGACATTTTAGTCTTGGGATATTTCGACATTTTAGTCATGGGATATTTCGACATTTTAGTCTTGGGATATTTCGCATTTTAATCTTGGGGATATTTCGACATTTTAGTCTTGGGGATATTTCGACATTTTTGTCATGGGATATTTCGACATGTTAGTCTTGGGATATTTCGACATTTTAGTCTTGGGGATATTTCGACATTTTAGTCTTGGGGATATTTCGACATTTTAGTCATGTGATATTTCGACATGTTAGTCTTGGGATATTTCGACATTTTAGTCATGGGATATTTCGACATTTTAGTCTTGGGATATTTCGACATTTTAGTCTTGGGGATATTTCGACATTTTAGTCTTGGGGATATTTCGACATGTTAGTCTTGGGATATTTCGACATTTTAGTCTTGGGGATATTTCGACATTTTAGTCATGGGATATTTCGACATTTTAGTCTTGGGATATTTCGACATTTTAGTCTTGGGATATTTCGACATTTTAGTCATGGGATATTTCGACATTTTAGTCTTGGGATATTTCGACATTTTAGTCTTGGGGATATTTCGACATTTTAGTCTTGGGGATATTTCGACATGTTAGTCTTGGGATATTTCGACATTTTAGTCTTGGGGATATTTCGACATTTTAGTCATGGGATATTTCGACATTTTAGTCTTGGGGATATTTCGACATTTTAGTCTTGGGATATTTCGACATTTTAGTCTTGGGATATTTCGACATTTTAGTCTTGGGATATTTCGACATTTTAGTCTTGGGAAATTTCGACATTTTAGTCTTGGGATATTTCGACATTTTAGTCTTGGGATATTTCGACATTTGTGCGTGAGAAACATGGCTCGGTGTTATTTTATCTTGAAATTCTCGTTCTACCAATTATTTCCCCAGAAATGAAATTTCCTTCATACCTTGTCAGTGTGTATATATATATATATATATATATATATATATATATATATATATATATATATATATATATATATGGTCCTGTGATAGTTTTACTTTTATGCATAAATTGAGAGAATTTTTAAAATTATTTGACCATATATTTAATGTCCTAGCCAATGAAAGGGACGTAATGAGACACCAACTCAAGCAATTTATTTATATCACAATGTTTACAAGGCTGGAATCAAGTCAATAAATCATCATTTGTGGTCCGTTATGTAAATACTCAAGTTTAAAAAATCATTTTTGAAATAAAAGATTTATTTTTGTGTTGTTTTTAAATACATTTTATAACACGCACAAAAATTGGAGAAATATAAACAGACTAAGGAAAATAACAGTGGAATCTATAGAAAAATTTTAGTTGTAGAATTGCGTGCTGGTAATATTTACTTTGATCTTTTTATATCGGTGTGTGTTAAAATCATTTAATTACACATTTGCATTTTCAGTTTAAGGTTGGTATTTATTTCTTGTTTATATTTAGACGTTTTGTATTAGATCTATGTATAAGTAAACCATCTTAAATGAATGAAAGCAGGCTACAAGTAAGAAAGAAATATTACTACTGTAAATCTGTATCAGCCATCACAAGCCGATGATGAAAACTGTAATACTAAAGCGAACACACAACTGACGCTATAAATTACGTGTCTGAGGTGAAAAAAAAGAGAAAAAAAAAGGTGTGTGTTAAAATAAATATGCCTCTAGGACATTAATTACCTGTACTATTAATATTGAAACAATCATATACATAACTTATTTTTATTCGACACGAACAATCACATGTACGATTCAGTAATGACACGTAAGAATTAAGCCGTTGAAAATATTTTTTAGCGAAATATGCTGAGAGCTTGATCTAATATAACTTTCTGGCTTGAATTCCACATCACGTGACCTATTTTTTTTAAACCCCAAATAGGCGGGAGGGGGTCTTCACACCTTGATATCGATTCCAAAAGGACAACTGGGTCTGATTGCAACAGTTTTCTGGGATCTGGCACAAATAGATGGAGCTCACGCATAGATCTCTATGATCAGCGACTGGTAGACAAGTTGTGTTTACTTTTTAATATGGTCGCAAAATATAAAAAATATGCTACATAATTATACAAACCTCCCAGTGTAATAAGAGGAAATGTTGCCAAAAATATACAATTATTCATTTTGTTCTGGATTCTGTTTTTTTTTTTTTTTTTTTGCTTGTTGCTATAATTATTTGTTTTATTACTATTTTTATAACGTTGTGTGTTTTCGTTTAGTTTAAAATTCTGATTTTTCATTACTATTTTTTCTGGAGCAAACCCAAACAAAACAAACAGCTATCGAATGTTTCAGCTGACCCCCCCCCCCCCCCCCACCGAGTCCAGTGTGCACGCTGTGCATAAATTTAAGGGGGAAAATAAGAGTTCGATACGGCAATAAAAATCTGTTGAAAACTTCTGTTGTCACAACAGTGAGTTAGTGTTGGCCTGGATTCATATTAGAAAGATTGTTGTTTGAGTCTATGTCTGTGGATGATAAGGAAGCTATGGCTGTTGTTTGAATCTATGGCTGTAGATGTGAAGGTAGCTATGGCTGTTGTTTGAATTTATGGCTGTGGATGATAAGGAAGCTATGGCTGTTGTTTTAATATATGGATGTAGATGTGAAGGTAGCTATGGCTGTTGTTTGAGTCTATGGCTGTAGATGTGAAGGTAGCTATGGCTGTTGTTTGAGTCTATGGCTGTAGATGTGAAGGTAGCTATGGCTGTTGTTTGAGTCTATTGCTGTAGATGACAACGTATGGCTGTGGATAATAACGTAATATCTGTTGTTTGAATCTATGACTGTAAATGATAATGTAGCTATGACTGTGACGTAAATGTAGTTTGACGTGAGTGTTGTTTTTCATATGTGGTTGTAGTTCTTGGGGTAGCTGTAAATGCTGTTTTACTATTTGACTGTATAAGAGAAAGTGGATATGACTGTTGTTATACTATTTGACTGTATAAGAGCAAGTGGATATGACTGTTGTTTTACTATTTGACTGTATAAGAGCAAGTGGATATGACTGTTGTTTTACTATTTGACTGTGTAAGAGAAAGTGGATATGACTGTTGTTTTACTATTTGACTGGATAAGAGAAAGTGGCTATGACTGACCCGGACAGACCGGACAATGTGCATAATACACATCTGCGTCCATGTGACGTAACACCTGTTGCTATGGGCAACGTTTCATCGTGTTTACTAAGCTGCGTTCTACCGAGGCTAGCGGAGCGCAAAAACAACATGGGGATTCGAGTCATGAATCAACGGGAGCCGGCGTTCTGGTGAATGTCATTTGTCATGCATGACATTTAGTGGGGGGGCATTGTGTAGTAGGTGTGTGGTAGTTGTCATTTCTCATACATGATATTTCGAAAGCAGTGTGTGGTAGATGAGTGGTGGGTGTCACTTGTCATCATTCATACATGATATGTTGGGGGAAAGTGTGTGGTAGTTGGTCATCCCTCGTACACAACATTGTGTGGTAGTTGTGTTCTAAGTGTGTACACAACACTGTGTGGTATTTGTGTTCTAAGTGTGTACACAACATTGTGTGCTAGTTGTGTTCTCAGTGTGCAATGGCTGTTGTGATCTGTTGTATGTGTGTGCTATTGAACGTGAGTGGCTTGTGTATGATGTTTCCGTTCGCTCATATTGTGGATTCGTTGAACTAAAATCAAGTGCATTGAAGTAATGTCACCACCCCTAATACCTTTAATACAGTGACATGACTTCATAAGTCATCATCGGCTTGTATAAAAACTCAAATTACTCTGACTTCCAGACGGTTATACAAACATCACTTCATGTACAACGTAAACTCATCACAAACTCGATATAGGAACTAAGGGGCGGGATCAGTGACACAATCACCAAACACAGTTGACTTCATCCACTAAACAAGCTCCAATACATCACACACACGCAGGGATTCTATCAGTCCACAGTCATGGCTGGTACTCTCGTTTCTTAGTCTTTAAAATGGTATCGCTGGCGGATCAATGTCCGTTCATTAAGGTGAGATATTTTTTACCATATGATAGTATAACATTATAGCGTGCCGTCAATAGTCAAGGCGCAACTGGCAGGTAAAGTAGAGTTTGTTTCAATGACCTAGGCATATACAGGTATAGCCCAGAGGTCCTAGTTTTCGTTAACGTTAGTCAGGTACCGTTGAGAGCTGGGTATGCTCAGGGATATCTTCCTGGCTCGAGTCCTATCATATGTATGGATGGGAGCTGGATGTTCCCAAAAGACACTTCCCGAATGTCATTTTTCCGAATGCCGTTTGACTGAACATTTTATTAGAATCAAAACGTCCATTGCGGCATTTGTCCCGTTCTGACATGTGCCCTTCCGTAAAACAGACTTCGTGCAAACGTATTTCGTGGATTTGACATAAACCCATATATATATATATATATATATATATATATATATATATATATATATATATATATATATATATATATATATATATGTATATATATGTATATATATATATATATATATATATATATATATATATATATATATATATATATATATATATATATATATATATATATATATATATATATATATATATATATGTATATATATATATATATATATATATGCATGTATATATTACCCTGTCATGTAATCGAGTAGTTCTATCTGTGACCGTGTCTACACTTGAATGATTTTTAAACTGATTTACTCACGTGACATATCCTAGCCGGAGAGCTCAGCCCAGCTCATCATGGCTTGTCTGCGACCCTTGCTGCGCCACTAGAACACAATCCACCTTACACGTGTGTCGCTGCACCTCGAGACACAGACACTCCTCACGACACACCACCTCGTACAGTGCACGTCAGGATGTTGAACTCCTATATAAATCAACTCAGTTCACGACTAATCACGGAGTTTTTTGTTTTGTTTTTTTTTAAGAAAATTATCTCCCTTTGTTCCTTTTTTCTCCCTTGCAGTAATTGATCCCAAAAGAAAGTAATCAAGTTCTGTCTCCAGGACAACGCCTTACGTTAACGACAATCACACTTACCACGTTACAACTAGGTGCTAATACACAGGGAGCTACGTCAGAATGGCGGATGAGATTTTTAATTGATTCTTTTTATCCACGGAAATGTTTAGTTTTTTTTGTTTTCTTTTTTGTTGTTTTTTTTTGTTTTTTGTTGTACGAAAATACAAAACGTTTTTACCTTAGAATCGCGAAAAGATTAATAAGAGAGGGTTAGTCAATCTATGATTAATGTTAACACACAAATATTTTTGTTTAAATTCTTTACAATTCTTGAAGATAAACTCCAATAGCTTGCAAATAAATGCATTTTATACATTTCAATTTGGTCTAATGTTGACACTGGTTTAAAAACGTAAAGCTGTTTTAATACAAATAAATTTTGTTTTAAAACAATTTTTAAAAGTAATACATTTTTTACACATTTTTAATGTTAAAATATTATATTTTATTGATTATAACTGATTTATTTTTCGCGTGTTTTGTTTTATATTTAAAACCGCGACACGTTTTTAATTTTTACTAACCTTTAACCTATCTAATTATAGCACGGACCTCGCCTACAACAACAATAACACTCTGGTCACGTGATGTATGATCATGTACTCCGACACTCCCAAGTCACGTGACGATCAAAGAAAACAGAATAAAAACGTCCAGAATTCCAAATTCAAGTTGTGTTCGTCCGGATTCATTGAGAGAATATCCACACCAGCAGCCGACTTTCCAATTGGCTGGCAGCATTTAGCGCCAACAGGAAGCTGGCAGGACCTGTGGCTGCTGGGCCGGATACGACAGGGCTGGAAGTGTCACATGGACAAAGATGGATGGCGCGTGGTGTGGGGGGGGGGGGGTCAATGTGGTGGATTTGGTCAAGGTAGAAGAAGCTGGGTTGTAGGGAGAGCGAGAATTTCAATTAATTACTTGCTTGCGACAGATGGGGGAGGAGTGTGGTCAAACTGTAGATCAAATGTTTACATAGTGTGTTGGTAGGAGTGTGTGGTAGAAGTGTGTGATATAAGTGTGTGGTAGAAGTGTGTGGTAGAGGTGTGTGGTAGATGTGTGTGGTAGAAGTGTGTGGTAGAAGTGTGTGGTAGAAGTGTGTGGTAGAGGTGTGTGGTAGATGTGTGTGGTAGAAGTGTGTGGTAGAGGTGTGTGGTAGAGGTGTGTGGTAGAAGTGTGTGGTAGAGGTGTGTGGTAGAGGTGTGTGGTAGATGTGTGTGGTAGAAGTGTGTGGTAGAGGTGTGTGGTAGAAGTGTGTGGTAGAGGTGTGTGGTAGAAGTGTGTGGTAGAGGTGTGTGGTAGAGGTGTGTGGTAGAAGTGTGTGGTAGAAGTGTGTGGTAGAAGTGTGTGGTAGAGGTGTGTGGTAGAAGTGTGTGGTAGATGTGTGTGGTAGAAGTGTGTGGTAGAAGTGTGTGGTAGAGGTGTGTGGTAGAGGTGTGTGGTAGATGTGTGTGGTAGAAGTGTGTGGTAGAAGTGTGTGGTAAAGGTGTGTGGTAGAAGTGTGTGGTAGAGGTGGGTGGTAGAGGTGGGTGGTAGTGGTGGGTGGTAGAGGTGTGTGGTAGATGTGTGTGGTAGAAGTGTGTGGTAGAGGTGTGTGGTAGATGTGTGTGGTAGAAGTGTGTGGTAGAAGTGTGTGGTAGATGTGCGTGGTAGAAGTGTGTGGTAGATGTGTGTGGTAGAAGTATGTGGTAGAGGTGTGTGGTAGATGTGTGTGGTAAAAGTGTGTGCTAGATGTGCGCGCTAGAGCTGTGAGGTGGAGTAGTGTTGTAATAGTGTGTGGTGGAATTGTGTGGTATAAATTTGAGGTAGGTGTGTGCGGTGGCAATGTGCGTTAGCGATACATTAACCTCATACCTTCCATTACACATTTACCATTTTAGTCGGTATCCATTTCCCATCTCAATTTTAACTTGATGAAATTGAAACTATTTTTATCCGTACACAGCAAGGGAGTCAACTCCCCGAGATTTGATTTTGTTTAAAGCCGATTTATTTATTTTTTACATTCGTCATCTTGTAATTACCAAATGGAAATCCGCAATTATTTAAAGCCGGTTTGAAAAACGTGTTCAGTCAGAGATGGTTTGTCACCTCGCTTTCACGACGGGAATCACGTGACCTCAGTAACGTAATGGAATCTCGGCATGTGTTAATGGGTATTGGGGGGCCGTTACGTGAATTTGTCACACCAGTAAATATCCGGACCCCGAGCCTTGGTTAGTGCCAGCCGGCAGACGACCGATCGATGGCACTGGGGGAGGGGGAGGGAGTGAGGTGAGGGTGGTGAGGTGAGAGAGGGTGGAAGGAATACCAGGGAGCGAGTGAGGATCGGAATGAAAGAGGGAGGGAGGGGATATTTCCGGATGCGCAAATGACCTAATAAGAGACAAGTTAAAAGGGAGACAATTCGAGTGAATTTAATGTTCTTTTAATTTCGATTTATGTGGATGGGGTAGGGATTGCAAGTCAATTATTTTTTTTCAAACTTGGACATGACGTCAAAGTGACGTAGACGCGGATTAAACTTAATGGAGCATAAACTACTTTAGGGTAATGTTTATTGACATCATGGGACTACTAGTAATGTACAGACGAACCCATTTTTTTTCAATCACTAGAGTCTCCTCCTATATTATAGAAACACGTCTGTTTGCCAGTGATCCTATTTAAACAATCCATTCTATTTTATACGGTGTACGATTTTCTTTTTTTCAGGACAAGTCATTCTTCCCCCCTCTCCCCCCCCCCCCTCTCCCCTCCCCCCCCCCCCCCCCACCGACTAGAAACACCGACCACCAAGACAGGATGTGTGTGTTGATCAACCTTACCGCACCGACAGATCAGATGTTAGCGGCCAGTGGTCAGCCGATGACGTAGATTGTGTTACATTCTAAAAATAGCATAATCCCCGGGGGGATGACATTTAGGGCTATCTGCCGCCATTCATGGGACGTATGCCAACCTCGAACTTTCAGTTTAAACATTGACAGAGGGTAGTCTAGGATCATTATGATCATATATATATATATATATATATATATATATATATATATATATATATATATATATATATATATATACGCTTTTCAGCATTCTTATGACAAGTCACTTGGCGATAGCGAATGCTGCACCTTCTAGCCCTCCACACCGCCACACACACACACACACACACAAACTAAATAAACACAGAGACACAGACCCCTCCCCCCCCCCCCGAGTGGCCCCCAGCCCTTATTCAGTTTGTAACCTAACGCCATACAACGCCAAAAGACGAAACCAAGTTTTGCAACAAATGAGGGAAGCCATTGTTGCTGTAACTAAACTAATGAGGGCTGAAGAAATTGTATTGCTAACTGTATTTGTCTGTTCCAAAATGGCTCTCCACCCAGGTCATCATTTGTCAGTTATATACTATATATATATATATATATATATATATATATATATATATATATATATACATAATGTTCCACTGTCATGAGTTTTATTTCAACTTCTCAGCTACAACCAAATCACATGAAATGTATGACAAGAAACCAGAACCCAACAGTACCAAATTCATTCCGGTTGTTTTATGTTTGTTTTGGGTTTTTTTCGTTGAAAGAAACAGTGACGATCGATTCCTTCAACTTCCGTCACATAATTGGCCAGATCCTTGGTGGGATTTTCTAAACAAAAGTTGTTTTGTTTTACTTTTCAGTGCATGTGGTTCAGTCTGGCTTCTTTATTCATTCTTTTTTTTTAGTCGTGTCCTCTCAGTCGAGTGATTCCATCTACACTAGATAAGTTTCTGGTAGAGGGCGTGGCTTCTTCTTCTTCTTCTTCTTCGTTCTTAATTATTAGTGTTGAAGTGGATCGAGATTTATCTGCCAGTGGGTTTTGTTGGAGACTTTGTTCGAATGTATCAACCATGAGCTTTATGCCGACTCGACCACGCCTCCAACACAATTAAGCGTTACGTGTCAACTGGTTATGCGCCATTGAGGCCATTGACACCGATTTCAGCCTGCTTTTCTTTTTGGATTTGCTTCCATAGCCTTTGTCCAACCAAGAACAAACTACAAGGCATCAGTTGTTTGATTTTGGAGTTGTCTCTCCTAGAAGAGTGGCTGTCCCACAGCTAACGAGCCTCATCTGCCCGAGGGTTCGAACTCGAGACTTTTCGGTTTAGCAACCATGAGCTTTACCGACTCGACCACGCCGACACCTGAGGGCGTGGCTTACATGCGCAGGCTGGAGGCATCCATTCATGGTTGTGTTAAATATAGTATAAGATCATTCCTGCAATTTCCACTAATCTTACGCAACAAAGGATGGACACTATATATATTGGTACCAGATTTTTTTTAAAAACTACAAATAATATATTGATGAATCTCAACACCTTTTATTATTAAACGCTGTAGCATCCATAGTTAGGTCTACGTTTTTTTTTTTTAATTTATGAAAATTAACTATTTTACAAAAAAAATTAAAAGTAATATTTTTAAAGTATTAATTTTTTTCAGTTAAAAAATATTTGCTACTTTGAAATGTGTGCTTTGATTAACGCTGGGGATAAGCTGACATTCTGAAAGTCTGGGTTTTGAAGTATTTCACATTCTGAAAGCGGAAATCTTGACCCTGAAGTAACTTCACATTCAGAAAGCGGTTAGCCCTGAAGTAATTTCACATTCAGAAAGCGGAAATCTTGGCCCTGAAGTAATTTCGCAATCAGAAAGCGAAAATGTTGGCCCTGAAGTAATTTCACATTCAGAAAGCGGAAGTCTTGGTCCTGAAGTAATTTCACATTCAGAAAGCGGAAATTTTGACCCTGAAGTAATTTCACATTCAGAAACCGGAAATTTTGACCCTGAAATAATTTCACATTCAGAAAGCGGAAATTCCCGATTTAAAATATTCTCACCTTCTAAATTTGGCCCTGGAGATTTCAGCCAAATCAGCTCTTCAGCCTAGGGGTTACGTACTGTATGTGTCGACAAATTTGATTTGTCGGCCAGACCGGAAGTCGATAATAGAGACAGACGGCCATCTTTAAAATGCATGAGAGCCGTTTTGTTTTTGAAAAGTTGGGGAGAGAAAAATCGATTGCTGGGAGCTTGTAGTTGACTTTGGCAAAGCAAATAGGATCACGTTATATGTCGAGTTAGTAATAAAAGATGGTAGATCGTGTATAGATTGCGTTACATGTGAACTGGTGTGGTTACATTAGGGTTATTGGATCGTTAGATTATCAATAGTGTTAAGTGCTAAGGACATTAGATTATTAAGGGGTCGTCCATAAATGATGTCACACTCGTAGGGAAAGGAAGTCCGCAATTTTGTGACGGTTTGTGATAAGGGGAGTTCAGATGGTGTGACGTCACACTTTTGCATATAAAAAAGTTATGTTAGAAAACGAATTTTAGCCGTTATTTCGCGTTTTAGAAAACTGTTTTAATCAATTTTAATAGGAATCGATTAAAATACTCTATGTTGACAGAGTTCAGACAAGATTTTGGAAAAATATCGCATTTTAAGAAAAATTCAACTGCATTTTTAAGGGGGGTTAAGGGCGGAGATGAGATGTCATTTTAGGGGGGGGGGGGTGAGTTCTGTGTGACGGAGGGAAGGGGGGGGGAGGTAAAAACCGTCCAGAAAAGCGTGACGTCATTTATGAATGACCCCCTAACAGTGTTAAGCCCTAAGACCATATGGTTTCTAAAGCGGGTGAAGTAGGGTTCATCTGTTTCCTTTGATCATAAAAGGTATTGGGTGATCAGCACTAGCGGCTAATAGTTCTAGAACCGTTGATTTAAATTGTTCGAGTCGAACTTTAGTATGCTGTATAGTTCTGCATTTGAGCTAAATTCCTTCTTCTTCTTCGTTCTTAATTTTAGTGTTGGAAGGAATACCTTCCAACACAATTCAGTATACGTGTCAACTGCTTATGCGCCATTAATTAAGGCCATTGACTCCGATTTCAGCCTGCTTTTCTATTTGGATTTGCTTCCATAACCTTGTCTAACCAAAAACAAACTACTAGACTGGCTCTCCCCAACAAACGACGAGCCTCATCTTCCCGATGGTTCGAACTCGAGACTTTTCGTTTAGCAACCATGAGCTTTACCGACTCGACCACCCTTAAATTCCAAATTCGATGAATATTCAACTTAACAACGAAGTTTTGTTTTGGTTTTTTCTTTTGCCTGCGCTTAGCTCTTTCAATACCCGTTTTTAATCGGTCTCCTATTCTTGTGATTGTGTTCTTGTTTTGTTTTGTTTTTGTTTGTTTAATTTTTGTTTGTTGGTAGGCCTATGTTTTTTTTTTTTTTTTTTTTGTACATACGCGAGGGTTTTATTTTACACTCGCTAAATGCACGCATTAAATTATTAAATTAAAACGCTTTTTTTTAATTTTGTCGCAATTTAAAATTTTATTCGTTGAATGTGTACACAAAATACACACATGCAAGACAATACAGCTCACCAATGTTTATTATTTACATTCGTACGTGAAGTTTTCAATTTTACAAACATATTTTTTTTTTAAATTAAGACATAGAACATTGAAATCAATAAAAGTTGTAATGTAACAATTTTTTTAACTGGTTAATTATGTGCACCACTGGAGGGCTGGGTAGGGAAATTGTGATTGTATTCATTAATAATTTCAAGCGAGGAAACCCACCTGCGCCCGAAGGCTTCACGTTGAAGTTATTTGATTACTTCCCTTACATGCGTGCTTGTTTCTATCACACAGATGATCGTCTTATGGCACTTACGGATCTTTTTTTGAAGCCCCCCCCCCCTCCCCCATAGTCACATGTATTTACTACATGCGTCTCCTACCTCCTAAACATTAAATCACAAAAAAAAATCCGTTCAACCCCCTCCCCCTCCCACTCTACTTACATTCTTAAAATAAACATAATTTCAAAGAAACAGAACGTGTTTTTCCTTATTTTTATTTTTAAAAAAGAAATTAGAAAGTTAAGTACGTAACTTTGCCGCCCCCCCTCCCCCCCCCCCCCCCCTGTCACAAAAATGTCACAATCGTTTGCCTTTTACACTGGTAGTAAACAAAATTTAAATTATAATTGGTCGAAAATGTTGGGTCGCAGTTTACTATTGGTTATTGGCCTTGAGTTGATGTACATTGAAACAAGGGACAGGATACCATCCCAATCTGTAGTGTGCATCTCTTCTTTAAGTATCACAGAAAACACCCCGCATCAATTACTGCAAGGCACAAAGTTGTGATAATATATCTGTAAAATAACTGTGTATCAAATGTCTTCTTCGTTCTTAATTGTATAATATTGTAGGTGATGTCAACATGTTATGCACCGTATAGACCCCTGACACTGACTTACGTCTGCTTTTCTTTCTGGATTTGCTTCCACATTCTGTGCCCACCTAAGAGAAATCTTCAAGGCAGTGGGGTTTTTACTTTTTTTTTTTTTTTTTTTTACTGGGGTTAGAACTCGGGACTTCGGGAGTTTGTAATCATTAGCACCCCTAGCCCCCATTTAAGATGTCTAACTACTCAGAAAATTATCAGTACATTCAAATGACTAGATAATACATGTACAGAGATTAAAGGCTTTCAGCTGGGTTCAATGGAACAATGGAAATAACGAAAATATTGAAAGTTTAATCCTAATGGGTAGGAACTAGCACAAGAAAGATGTTACTGTTAGGAACTGTTGGAGACACTAGCACAAGAAAGATGTATAGGAGATCTAGTCGATGCATGTCTAATTCTAGAAAATTTCATCAAATCAATCTTCACCCATTCCCCCCGACCCCCCCCCCCCCCCATCCACTGCCCTAACACTGTGTCACACAAACACTATTAATCAGGGTAATTAGGGCTACATCCTTGTCGGCACCTCAGTTTGTGTTTTGATTGATGCACGTGTGAAGTAATTGATCGTGGATGGAAAGAAAACAAAGTAACCTGCTAGAGAAAACAAAAACCTGTATTATTCTGTGGCCTCAAAGAGTATCGAACCAGACTCCAGGCTTTTTTTTTTTACCTCACATTTTATCTTCACATTCAAGCTGCCATGAAATAGGGCCTACAGCATACAATAAAAATTCACACCAGAATAATAGTTAATAATAGTTTCGACAAAGGAGCCATCGTTTGAAAATACACAAAAAAATCGTCATTTTGTTATAAATTATAATCTAACAAAATATTATATATGGTCTTTGAAGCAGAAGTGAGATGAGAAATGTAGTCAGTGATGGACTTAGGGCGTCATGTGTCTCCTACGTCATAGATTCTACCTCCGGCGGCTACTCAATGACAGTTCTCTTAAACTGGGGGTGACGGGTTGCTGTTGTTGACGTGGTTATACGTATGCTCTGGGTCTGCTGATAAAGATAAAAAAAATATTATTAACACCCTTCGTATGTCATCAATGTAGATTAAAGTAAAGCGATTTGTCATTTTTCGTATGTAAGGCCTAACAATCCATAGCGCAGATGAAGTAGACTTTACATGTTTTTTTTACCTCGGCATTCGAAGGGATGGTGTGGTCAGCCGCCTGTACTTTCCCTAACTTAAGTCAGGTGCTCATTAGAGCTGGGTGTATAGTCAATTAAATTTTTTTTTAAAAACTCTTTTTTCCAAAGAACTTCTGCCAATATTAGTCTAAGGGGTCTCACATGAACGATGTCACAGCCCTGTGACAATGTGTGACACAGTCCAGTGACGATGTGTGACACAGTCCTGTGACAATGTGTGAAACAATCCAGTGACGATGTATGACACAGTCCTGTGACGATGTGTGACACAGTCCTGGGACGATGTGTGATACAGTCACGTGACGATGTATGACACAGTCCTGTGACGATGTGTGACACAGTCATTTGACGATGTGTGACACAGTCCTGTGATGATGTGTGACACAGTCATTTGACGATGTGTGACACAGTCCTGTGATGATGTGTGACACAGTCCTGTGACGATGTGTGACACAGTCCTGTGACGATGTGTGACACAGTCCTGTGACGATGTGTAACACAGTCATGTGACGATGTGTGACGGGGTTTCACTTCAGTCAAGATCAAAAGTGTTTTTGTCTTTAGTTTCCCACTCAATTTCTACTAGACATGATGTGTAATTGAATGACGTACCTTTGGTCAGCTGGTGTGTGATTAAATGACGTACCTTAGGCCAGCTAATGTCTGATTGAATGACGTACCTTTGGTCAGCTGATGTGATTGAATGACGTACCTTAGGTCAGCTGATGTGTGATTGAATGACGTACCTTAGGTCAGCTAATGTGTGATTGAATGACGTACCTTAGGTTAGCTGATGTGTGCTTAAATGACGTACGTTAGGTTAGCTGATGTGTGATTGAATGACGTACCTTAGGTCACCTGATGTGTGATTGAATGACGTACCTTAGGTTAGCTGATGTGTGATTGAATGACGTACCTTAGGTCAGCTGATGTGTGATTGAATGACGTACCTTTGGTCAGGGGTCCTCACGTTCCAAACGGACCAGCCCCACGTTTTGGAGATCCAAAAGCACTGAGTGCTAGAGCCTGCAACTCTTTGGTTCTCTGTTGCTTCATTTCCTCGCGATGTTGGACTGCAATAAGAAAAGTTACATTAACAGAGTTATATTCGTCTCATCTTTATATGTGGACTTACAAATAAAAAGAGCTACCGTTACAGTTATATAGTCTCATCACTATAAGTGGACCAACAATAAGAAGTGTTACAGTAACAGAGTTACATAGTCGTATCACTATAAGTAGACAGCAATAAGTAGGCTACAGTAACCGAGTTATATAGTCTCATTATTATGAGCGGGACCAACAAAAAAAGGGTTACGGTAAATATAGTCACATACGTCATTATTAGGACTAAACTAAAACCAAAAGATGGAACGGCGTGGTCGGATGGTAGATCGCTCGACCGCTAACCCGAGAGTCTCGAGTTCGAATTCCGGACTCGAGACTTTACCTGAGTCCATTCAGCTCTAAAGGGTACCTGAATTATGTTGGGGAAAGTAGGGGCAGCCTAGTGCTCAAAACACTAACCATTTATACAGGTATTATCATGACGACTGGAGTAGATCACGACAGGAACAGTATTGTTATTCAATAAACCTCTATCTGACCATTTAGACTGAACATAACAAATTTGTCAGAGAGGGTGGGAGGGGTATTCAGAGTTTTTGACCAAACTACATAAAGGCGACCAACTTAAGATTTAAAACTTAAAATATGTGGGTGGAGGAGGGAGTTGGGTTCTATGTGACGTACAGGTCTATATATTTCTCCAAGACAGCAATTGATTTGTGAACCGAGTTATCTTTAATACTAAATTTTTAAAAATACATTTATTCTTTAGTAACTTGGGTTTGCTTTTTTTTTTCTATTTAAATGTATAACTTATATTTCAACATGGTACAAAATTATTAGATTTTTTTTTTACTTATATTTAAGACGAGGTGCAAATTATGCAAATGTTTAACAGAAATTTCAACAAATTGACACGAATTTATTTAACTTAATTTAAGAAGTAAGAGATGCAAATTATAGGATTGGGAAAAAAAGAAAAGAAATAATTTGCCAATTTTCACATTTAAACTGCGTTGTTAATCAATTAAGTTGTCAAACAGAATCAGTGAATTGGATACCCTGAATTTCTAGAGATTTACCGTAATTGGCCTGGATCGATGAAGTAGTTATTTCAATAAAGAAAATCAATTGATTAGATCGATGAGAAAATTTGTGTGAGAAATGTGTTGGTGGCTTGAAACGTTTGTGCTGGGGCGTTGACTGAGGCACGGGAGGGAGGGGTCAGTTTAGTTCGGGCGGGGGTTGTGACATGCTGGTTAGTGGAAGGGGGGGGGGGGTAGTTTAGTTCGGGCGGGGGTTGTGGCAGGGGTTGTAACATGCTGGTTAGTACAAGGGGGAGGGAGGGGTCAGTTTAGTTCAGTCGGGGGTTGTGACATGCTGGTTAGTACAAGGGAGAGGCAGGGGTCAGTTTAGTTCAGTCGGGGGTTGTGACATGCTGGTTAGTGGAAGGGGGGGGGGGGGGTAGTTTAGTTCGGGCGGGGGTTGTGGCAGGGGTTGTAACATGCTGGTTAGTACAAGGGGGAGGGAGGGGTCAGTTTAGTTCAGTCGGGGGTTGTGACATGCTGGTTAGTACAAGGGAGAGGCAGGGGTCAGTTTAGTTCAGTCGGGGGTTGTGACATGCTGGTTAGTGGAAGGGGGGGGGGGGTCATTGCTGGTTCAGGGGTTGCTGCCAGGGATTGTGGCCAGAGTTTGTTTTATGATTGTATCTCCCCCATGAGCACGTCTATTGCACCCTCTCCTCCCTCGGACGAAATAGAAACAAATATATACTTTTTAAAGAAAACATACTACAACCAGTGTCCGCCACCTCCCACCCCCCCCCCGGGATTTTTAAGTGCCCCCACCTACAGGATGTGTCAAGTTATCGTCCCGTCCCCCCCCCTCCCACCTTGGATAAAAATCCTGAAAGAAACCCTGGCAAGTTGTTACTTCGGGGGATACTTGTCCCTATGAGAGGAAACTTGTCATTGTGAATACAACAAAACTCTGGCCCTATGAGTGATATTTGTTAAGAAAAGCATAAAGTTTCTTATCGAAATTGAAGTGCCAGTGAGCGAACAAAATTCACATCTCTACTGATACTTGTCAGCCACAGTAAAATGAAACAGTCACTTCAGCTTGACACACGCCTCAACCAATCAGAGCTCAGGTACCGCTCACGTGTCACTGAATGTCACAACTCATAAAATGTTGGGTTTTTTTTCTTTTAAAGGTTTCGGTTGTTGGGCGGAGATTAAAGAAAGGAAATGACGTTTTGGGCTACTGCTCGTAAACAATCGGTGCTTTTAATCTGTTCAGTTGTGTGTTGTTGTTTTAGTTTTACTGTTGTTTTTGTTTTACTGTTATTGTTTTAGTTTTATTGTTGTTGTTTGTGCTTTACTATTGTTGTTTTCTACCATAATATGCGCTAGATGCTTTCAAACAAACTACGATGCCACAGAAAATAGTGTTACTGTTTACCGGAGGGGTGAGGATGAGAGGGGGAAATTTGTTTAAATATATTTGTTTTTGGGTTTTTTGTTAAAAATTTCAAACCATGGGATAATGAACATACAGAGTTTCTTCCAGGCATCTCTTCGGGGGGACTTTGATATTACATAACTGTGTAATCTTATTCATCACCATGTAAAGTTACCTAGAACACCACCCTCATAGTACGTAGTTTACTCAAACTTTACTTCTATGGACATTTTTCAAACCAGTTTAAATACAGCGATTGTTTATTTCAGTTGTTTTTTGTTGGGTTTTTTTTTTTTGGTAAACATCTTGTACAGTGGGACCTTGTACACTACTCGTGCTAAACCTACTTTGTGGTGTGGCCCTGAGGTTAAGTGGACTGCATCGAATGTGGTTTTGACATTTTGCCGTAGGTTTTGGTGAAGTTTACTGGACCTATCAGGGTTAATCGCCTTGTTAGGGTTAAGGTTCCTGTAACCCTGACAATAAGGATGCTGGTAAACTTGAGCCAGCTTATGATGTATACAATGTAAAGTGACCCCCATACAAACACACACCCCACACACACACACACCCTCCCACCTCGGGGTAGTGACACGTCGAAATGAGAACCTGTTGTGTGACGTAATAAAAGTGTGGATATTTAAAGAACTCAGTGAAAGAGATCCTTTATGAACTCTTGGTGATACTGACCCCCCCCCCCCCAGGTGCACCCCTATTGAAGTAACATCAACCGCTGAAGAAACCGAACCCGAGTTCTTGTAGATCCCATGTTAACCCCTTAATAATGACCCCTGATAAAAACAGTCAGTAAATAAATCGGACCCCTTGTTCGGACTTTTACCATTGACCCCTATTGAAACGGGTCCGGGTTGGAATAGACACCCTGTTACCCTTGTTTTTATTGAAACTTTTTCTATACTCTAATTAAACATTTGCTTCACTCCCACCTCCTACACAATAAACACCAAACACTACTCCACCTACAGATGGCATCCAAGTGACCTCAGTATAAAAAGGTTCCCACTCCCTCCGTCTCCTAGCAACCAATACACCTACACTGTGTATTCCTACGCCCAACCAATCACTGAGTGCAATCACATCTCTACATAATTTAAGGCCAACTACGTACATCGAGTGTGTAACTTTAAACCCATGGTTCGCCCACCTACGGCGCCTAAGGGACAGAACCCACCAGTCTGCCACTTACAAGAATTATCTTTCCATCGCTGGCCGTGATTACTATTTACCGCGATCTTTCATTAATTAGCTGATTAAAGTTTGATGATTCCTGTGTCTCCGGTTATTGTCAATTTGAATATGTATGAGATGTGGTGTGTTTTATCATCTAGCTATGCAACAATCAAAATTACAAACAAAATACAGTGTATCTATAGTTCTCAGGGATACGGTTTTAAAAATAGCTTTAAGAAAATATCCATAATTTTTTAAGGTTGAAAAATGTTAAGAAAAATAGCAGCATTTTTTGTTTTGTTATAAAAATGAACTATAGAGCACAAAGTAAACTTAGTTAAAAGATATAATTGCTCTTTTATTTCTTAACAAGGAGAAATCGGGAGGTGGAGATGCGGTTGGTATGGCACATGAGGAGTTGGGGTTGTTATGGAACAGGAGGCAGAGTTACTTCCAGACATGGTATTTATATAGAAAACGTATACTTTTACTAGTGTCCGGGCACCCCCCTCCCCCCGGAAAATTTACCCCCCCCCCCCAAAAAAAAAATTAAGTGCCCCCCCCCCCTCCGGATAAAAAAAGCCTGGAAAAAACACTGTGGTACTGGGGGAAATGGGGTTGGTATTGCATTGAAGGAGATAGGGTTTGTATGGTACAGGATGAGATGGGGTTTGTATGGTACAGGAGGAGATGGGGTTGGTATGGTACAGGATGAGATGGGGTTGGTTGAGGTGGGGTTGGTATGGTACAGGAGGAGATGGGGTTGGTTGAGGTGGGGTTGGTATGGTACAGGAGGAGATGGGGTTGGTATGGCACAGGAGGAGATGGGGTTGGATATCATATGTGACGAAAAGTTCAGCATTACGGTAATTCTCGTCAGACGAAACATGCGCTCTTGACGAAAGAAACACCGAAAGCCTTTTATTTTGAATTCGTGTCACTACGCCAATAATCCCGTCACTGTTGTAGTTACCGTGTTACTCCGCCACAAAAAATAAACCCCCCAAAAAAATTGTCCAATAAATAACAACGCAGCTATCAAGTCATGGGAACCTAAAGCGCCAGTATTGATCACCTCCCTAGTCCGTGTAGCAGAACAGGTAATGCAAAAGTTGAGTAGATGGTTGTAAATAAATAAACGTGGGCTCGACACTACATGGACGAGAAATACGAAGACATGGGTAGGCGACAGGGATACTAAATCTAAGGCCTTTTATCTCATGTAGGCGCCTGTAAAAAGGTGAACGATGTTTAAGTGTACGCTGCTATCTATAATAAATGAAGCTTTTGTGATTTGATAGAATGTTTACAGAAAGCGTAGGATTTAGAGTGTTTTTATTTTTGTCTGTTTTAAATGTCAGACAAAACAAAAGAAGTATCGGGAAGAGAGTTTTAATTTGACTTGTGCGATACTTTCAGAGTTTCAATCCTGCAGGAGCGATACTTGAAGCGTTTTAATCTGATTGAAGCGATACTGACTTTTAAATATGTTATGTTAATAAAAATGAACTAGTAGATCTCATGTAAACTAATGAAATCAAATTTTAAATACAATATGAATATCGTAGCCTAATAAATTTATAATTTTATGAATATTCAAATTGGTTTTCTTGTTTATGACGAACAGATGTTTATTTTTATTCATTTTAATATTCTAAAATCTTCGAGTATAGTTTAAAGCTATAGTAGGGTCAGACTTAGCATCTTTCTTATTATAAATCAAATACAATATTTAGCCTTAGACTTGTGAACGACAAACTCTACTGACTTTCGACCAAATACAAACATGGGAGGCAGTCAATCTTCAAGACTCACTTCAACACAGACACACCCCAAGAGTGTTTGGAGTTTGGATCATGTGACATCACGTGACCTTTGACCTACCCGAGAGCGAGACCATCTGAATGCCCCAACCGATGGACCAGAACCATCCGACCAGCATGAAGGTGACGGTGAAAAGTTGAGCCAAACCGACCATGCAGTTGGCACACAGCGTGGTAAAAATCTGGTCACTTTTGTTGGAGATTCTCGCCTGTCCGCAGCACAGTATAGACAAGCCACTCAACGCCGTGCCTGTGTGATCAGACGGATCAAGAAATAAATGTTTTATTTATTTGCACATTTTTTTTAACTATAAGGAGTAGTTACAGTCTGCTATGAGATATTAATATTTTTGGCACAACCGGGTTTCCATAGAAATTTGTATAACATATTTATATAATTTATATAACATTTATATACCCCCCCCCCCCCATATCTCTCTCTTACCTCACCCACACATACCACAAATAGTCCATAAATCACAACATTGTAGAGAAAACCGCATGTTAAATATGCACCATCATCCTCATCATCTTTTACCGTTCGTGCCAAAGACACATGGGGCAGATGAACTTGAGTTCAATAGGGCTGGTAAGTAGGTCACCAACCAGTTCTAAGGCTCAATAAAACCTGCATGAGCCATAGAACTGGTTGGTGACCTTCTTACCAGCCCTATTACCTCGGCAGATATGGGGATAAAGTGGTCAGCACTACACACAATCGCCCTAGTTTCCCTAACGTGAGTCAGGTACCCATCAGAGCTGGGTGGACTCAGGTACATCCTACAGACTGGAGCCTGGAATCCGAACTCGAGACTTTCTGAATGGCAGTTTTGTATGTATGTTTGTATTTGTGTGTATTTATATATATATATATATATATATATATATATATATATATATATATATATATATATATATATATATGGATATATATTAAAGGACTTAAGGACCTTACCAGAGCCTGGAAGAACTATATTTAGAAACAAGCAAATGATGGCTAGGCTGAGGGGAAGGTAGGGGATGGCGTTCATGATGAAATTCTCGTCGTTCGTCAAAACTGATTTGGGCTTTTCCTCCGCGAACGGCTGCACGGCCGTGGTGGCGTTCCGTATCCGGTAGTCGACGGACTTCCTGGACGCCGAGTCGAGAGAGTGACGCGCGGAGTCTCTGCGGGAGGACATGGAGAAGTTGTCCTCGTCCAGCGTATGCTCACGGGGCGATAGCCCGGGCACCTTGAGGGAGCTCATGCTCTGTGTCTTGTGCGCCGCCTTGCCGAATTTGGACCCCGCGCTGCCGAAACTCGTTTCCGGCGAGGGCGACCTTGAGAGGCCGTGAACCGGAAGTGAGGTGTTGGAGCTGGAGAGGGTTTTGTCTTTGAGCTTGCGTTTGATGTTGGCTAGTACGACGTTGCCGACGCTGCTCTGGACGTCCGACGTCGTCTCGTCTACGACGGTCAACGTCGTTGTTTCCTCCGTCTCCCCTTGCTTGGTTTCGGACTTTGAATCCTTGGGTTTTGAGTTGGGGTCAGTCCCCTTCTCTACCGTAGTCCCAGCCTTTTCTTCCTGCTCTGTCGTGATGACGATTCCATTCACAGACCGGGCGGTGGGAGGGGTAGTCGTTGCCGCGGCCGGTACATATTTTGAACCTGTTTTCTCGCTTGACTTAGTCGAGGGAGAACTTGTCTTTCCCCCGAACCACTTTCTGACACTTGCTAATTTTTTCTCGGCGGGTTTTGTTTTTGTTGTCGGCTGTTCGGCTTGTTTTTGTGGTTTGCTTTTTTCTTTTCCTTTCGTCGCATTTTTCGTCTTTTCTTGTTCTATTCTGACCAAACTTGGTGAGTCTAAATTACCATTGGGCAAATTTCCATTTGTTTTAGGGACAGTTTCCTCACCGTCCTGTTTAGATAAACTTCTCGCTAACACTTTCAAAGCGATCCCGTTTTCTTTGTTTATCGTTGTCTCTTTTTCTTGTTGTGAGTTTTTCGTCTCCCCTTCTTTGTTTGATAGAGTTGCTTCCGCTTCTTTCTTAGTAATGTCTGTTTTTTCAATAGGTGTGTTCTGTTCTTGGTCTACTTTCTTATTTTTTGTGTCTCTTTTCAGTATATTGAAGATTCCCTTCTGCTGAACAGCGCTTGTACCTTTTGAACCAACAACATTTTTTTCATCGACTTTTTCATCATGTTTTTTATTGGGTTTTGCGTTAAGTTTTTCATCGGGTTTTGTATGCACGTCCACAGTGTTTGCCTGTGCTGTGTGTGTCAAGTCTTGCTCTGTTGATTTTGTATGTTGTCCACCTTCTAACTCAGCAACCACTTCAACATTATTGATGTTGCCAGATGTATTATCTTCTTTAAGAAGCAATGTTTCACCACTGTCTTTATCTGCCTGTGACAATTCACCATCCATCTTTTCGTTTCTTGTTCCTGTCGATGTTTTATCTTGCGTAAGATTTTGTTTTTCCTCCTTCTCATCTTTCCTCGAAACCGGGTCCAAAATCTGACCTTTAACCTTTTTGTTGCGACCGGATTTTTCATGAAGCTCGCCTGCTCCCTTCTCGCCGCCATCTTTCTTCTGTGTCTTGCTGTGTTTAACGACCTGAGGCTTACTCCTGCTGCCCTGCGCCGGTTTCCTGGGTGAGACTTTGTGGGTGACCTTCTGGCTGATGGAGTAAGGCCCGTGCATGAGACGGTCGATGGCCTTGGTCTCGCCGTACCCGGGGGTGCCGGGTTTTCTGGGGCTGGTGCCAGGCTTCAGGGCGTAGGTGTACCGAACCCTTTGATTGCTGTACTGGTCGTAGTCGTGCTCTGTGTTCAAGTCGATCATCAGGTTCTCTGGTCTGGCGTCGTCGCGAGTGGAGTGAGTACGGCTAAACAATTTCTCCGGGGTTCCTCGGTCGATGTTCTGGTCGTCTGGTTCACTGACGTCATTGTTTAGATAATACAGATATTTTTTATTCTCTCGGTCGTCTTTGTCGTCTAAATGACGAAATTTCTCATTTTTAGTATCGCCACCTGCTGAATCATGTCGAGAATTCGATTCTTCCGGTTTTTTATTCATGTTTGTTTCGCTATTTGCAACAACCGTTTTCTTGACGTCTAAGCCCACTTCCTGTTCTCCCGATTTACCACTTGTTTTGTCGTTGTTATCCAAAATTTTGGAAGATTTTTCATGTGTTTGGTTTTGTTTTTCAGATTTTTTATCTGGCTGATCTTCCAGCTCCGAGGTTTTTTTAAACATTGCGAAATAAGAACTTTCAACTGAGTCGTCCAGATTTAGCTCACCATTCAGGTTTTCTGTACCAAATTCTAAATTTTTATTTGGCTCATTTTGGCTGTCTCCTGTAGATTGAATGCCGTCTTGCAGCTCTTTGTCTGTCTGGTTGTCTGTCGCTTTGAGACTTAATGTTGACGGAAATAATTCCGAGTTTCTAGAATCTTCTTGGTCTTTTTGTTTCCTGTGTTCAGGGGTCATGTCGCGGTAATGACTTACATCGCCGCTAACGTCTTCTTTATTTTGATTATCGACTTGGTCCTTCTTGTAATCAGTCGTGGTAGTGTTGTTTTCATTTAGATTTTCCCTCGTGGATATTCCGTCGTTGTTTGTTCCAACGGTGTCTTCTTCAAAATCAATATGAATGTCGGATTTTTCATTTTGTTGTAAACTTTGCTTTGTGTCTAAGTTTTCTCCTGTATCAAATCTTGAACCCGAATCAAAATCAATGCCTTGTTCTTCGTTAATTGCCATGCTAGCGTTACGTCCATCGCTGCTCCCATCCGCCTGGAGTTGATGTTCTTTGTACAATGGTGTAAACCCAAGACTGTTTTTATGCCCCGAATCGTCGTAAAAATCGTCTTCTTCTGACTCGTAAGTTTTGGGTTTTGTCTTGCTTTCATCGCTGTAAAACCCGTTGTCTTCATCACTGCGGTGGGCATCTGCTTCAATGCTGTCTTGGTCGTTGTGAGCTTTGATGAACTCTACATCGCTTTTCGTGTGGAGGCTATTGATGTTTTGCAGTGATATTACGTCATCATTTCTTGTGTACCCATGCCCACGAGTTTCGTTTTCGTTATGACTATCATGGAGTGAGTTGTGTTCATCAGCTTTGGTCGATCTGTATGACGCTGTGTCATGTTTTGTTGGGGTAGTCGTATCCTGGTCACGTGTAGGGAAGGTATCACTTTCATTGGACGACGCCAAGTCATATTTCTGGACTTCGATCATCGAGGAATTATCTTTCCTTTTTGTCGGAGTGGCCGGCCCTGTGTCGTCTGGGTTTTCGATAGGGGTTATTGTCCTTTGAGATTGGGGCGAAAGAGTTGACATTCTCTTGCAGAAGTGAGCTGTTCTCTTTCGTGTTCTTAAGCTTTTTCGTAGTTTTCTGTCCACAAAAACAATAAAGATTGCAGTTACAGTAAATTTAAAGGAACATGGTTAAAATTTAATTGCAGTATTATTATGAAGATGTTTTTAACTAACACTTAATTTATTTTTAATACTCCAGATATATGAGAAATTTGAAATGTGTTCGTCGCATTTATTCATATTCTTAGGTAAGGAAATCGTTAAATTCGTCTCTCTCACCATCCACCCTCCTAAACTAATTGCCAACTAGTAGCCCTATTGAAATGTACCCCAGCAACTAAATTAGAACCATTAATGTTTAAGTCGTGAAATAAAGTTGTAATATTGTTATTAATTAAGTCATCGTGTTTATAATTCGGCTACAACTAACTCTAGTGGTGCTTTAACAACCCTCTCGCTATACTATTCTGGCCCTTACAATGAATATTTTTGTACTTTTGTCGCATTCAAATTACACCTAAAATCTAATTGTACCAATTCATAGCTGGATTATGTTAAAAGATTTTGTTCCAAAAAATTGTATATGATTTATAAATTATATATATATATATATATATATATATATATATATATATATATATATATATATATATATATATATATTTAAAATTAATGATGTAGGTTCTTAATAATTATACTGTAAAGAGTTCACCATTAAAGTTAACATTCATTTACAAAGTAATCCTCCTTCATTGTGCTGATAGAATATATGTTTTGTCCAACGTTTAAATCTTGATATGAACATTAACAAAGAGAAACTATTCCAAAATTTTAAAACTATATTTACGAATACATTATGAAGCCAAAATACACTGCCGATAACTCACCAATACACTAATATTTCGTATCACAAAACATTGAACAAATAGTCTCAGAAACTACAGAATTTCATGTTCCCTACTTGGCTAGCTCCTGTGAAGAAGGCCTTCAAATGTCAAATTTAATTATACCATTATTTCGCGTATTCACTAAACCGCTGAGAGATCTTATAGAATTTCAACAAATCGTGTTCTAAAGGTATCTCATAGAATTTCAACAAATCTTTACTAAAGAACTATGTTATAAATTATAAACATCTTTCTTCTCCTTTCTAACAATTCCTTTTCACAATTTTTATAGAACCCCAGTTGAAAAACAAAACAACGCACATTTCTAGTAAAAAGAGATAATCTTTTATTTATTTTTCCTATTTTTTTGTAACAGTTTTGTTTTGTTTTGACTTACCTTTCCTTGGAGACAGAAGATTTTTACAGAACTTCTTCATTGTATCTTACAACAAAAACAACTGAGCAATCCGTGCCCACGGAACGGTAACTCTGAATGCTGCTCTGCTGTTCATTTCTTCTCCAGTAGCTGCAGAGCTTTTTGTTTTTTAGTTGCCTCCCTTCCATTGAGCCAGTTTGTTTTACATTAATATCTGATCGATTCTGATCGCTTATTGATCGCGAGCTGGGACATTCCCAACTTAATAACAGTCCTCGTCGATTATCGATGAAAAAAAAGAGCGTTCTCTTTAAGTTGGTAAAAATCATAGCATTCATTAGGTGCAATTATATTGCTATATTCTGAAATCTAAACAGAAGTTTAGGAAATCGAAATATATGGTAAACAAAAGGCAGTTCTTGTGAGATACGATATATTATTAGAATGATTTCGTTGTTCATTCTATTTATAGCTTGAATGTTGACTAGATACTGCAAATGTTGACTAGATTCTGCTAAATGTTGACTAGATCCTGCTAAATGTTTACTAGCTACTGCTAAATGTTGATTAGCTTGTGCGAAATATTGACTCGATCTTGCTAAATGTTGACCAGCTCTGGCTTGGAGGGGGCTTGGGGGTTTGAGCAGTCTTATTGGAATGGGTCATGCACATTTGGCGTTACTGATATCCGCCTTGTCGCTTGACATTATTTCCCACAGGGGGATGTTACTCTAATCCGCCTCCGTGAGAGAGGAGAGGCTAAGATTAACAATGCTTTAATCAGCTGCGGTGGCAAAACTCGTGGGTTCTGTCAAGTTAGTTACGATGTAATGTTTAATATCAAATACACACTACGTCTAGTAACTACGGAACGCCCACCTTCAACAGTGTCCGAGGCCGTTTTGTTTGGCTAGAATCCCTATCCTTTTCCTGGCCTTAACTTTTATTTGGATCCACCCCCCCCCCCCCTCCCGGCTGTCATCTTTATTCTGAACTTAACGAAGACGGCTAAAAAATATAAGATTATTGTTTACATAAGATTACTGTTCGCATTAAGTAACTCTCTGAGCCGTGTTTTCTTCAGTCGTTCCATGGTTCATTTATATATATATATATATATATATATATATATATATATATATATATATATATATATATATATATATATATATATATATTATATATATATATATATATATATTATATATATATATATATATATATATATATATATTATATATATATATATATATATATATATATATATATATATATATATATATATATATATATATATATATATACAAGCACCGTCATGTTTCCAGTGCACCCAAGCTAAGAGACTATCACGTGCCTACCGCACAGGTCACATGACCATAACGTGCCAGCTTTAGCCAGTTGACGAAATGTGACATCAACACTACACCATTAAAGTTGTTAATTGGGTGAGAAAGTTGGCAAGGATAGCATGTCGCCCATTATCACCAGTTTATAAGTACAGTGAGATGGGGATGCAAGTATTGGGAGTTCAGTAAAAAAAAATTGACATCCAATTTTATAGGAAAAAAAGTTTTTTTTTAAAAATCTATTAGAGAGTATGGTATTTATTAAATTTAAAAAGTGTCTAGTATTAGAGAGTACAGAAAAAAAGTCACTAGCATTAGAGAGTTCCAGTACAAGAAACAATGAGCATGAACACAAATGCCCCTCATATAAAACGGCATTGTAAATTATACACAAGACAGATTCACATAGCTCAAAGACAATGGTTATTTCAAATATTTATTCTGGTTATAAGTTTAGAGATCAATCTGGTTATAATAAGTATTAAAGACTAAACTTTTAAACACCAAAACAATATATCAACCCACTGGTTGGACAACAAGTTGACCTGAGTTAAAGTAAACAACATGTCATTAAACCTGACAAAAACCTCATTATAAATACATTAAACCTTCTGTCATTTTGTCATGTAGAGGGTAAATACATTAGGGAATTATTTACTGTAATAACGTGACTTGTGCGGTTAGGGAATTATTTACTGTAAAAACGTGACTTTTGTGCGGTTAGGGAATTATTTACTGTAATAATGAGACTTTTGTGCGGTTAAAAATGTCAAGTAAATATTTTTAATTAACTTAAATTATTAAACATCAATAATTTATCATTGAGATCTTTGATTTTATAAAATATTTGATGTCTATACATGGATTGTAACATGAACCACCAGAAGATGACAGCTCAAATACTGATTCAGTTATTGCAATATCAACTAAGATGATGACAGAATCATTACGGCAATAATGATTAACAGATAGATAATGTAAATGACAATGTCATTGTAAAATGTCAATGTAAAAAGACTTGCTGAACTTAGTAAGCATTACCCTGTTCAATCAAGTAACAAAAGTACTTCGTCAAATACATAATAGCTTCATGTACATTACATCAAAAAACAATTGTATATTGCATTAAATTATCTTTTTATATATCTGGATGTACAAAAATAAACATTTACCATTTGTATTTGTAACCAACACTTCAAAATCTAGATAGGTTCAACAAATAAATTAAGTTTAAATAGAATGTTTAGGAAGATAAATGTGACCAAAATACACGACAACCCTCCAAGTAAATGCTTTCCCTCAAACTAGTGTGACACATAGTATTCAAGCTATCAGATAGCTGGACAAAATGTAAGGTTTTACAGAAGACCAAAGTGGTAAATTGTCTTTTGGGTGTATGTTTCTCCAGGGCGTAGAATTGAGTTGGGAAACTGTGGCTGAAATTAGATGACAAAGTTATTTTAATAGTGTCATTAATGATGAAAAAAGTACATTCAATGTAATAGTAAAAACTCCAGTAATAGTTGATTAAACTTTTTTGATTACATTCAAATAGTTGAATTTTTCTATTAATTTTTATTAAAGAAAAATTCTATGATTATTTAAAAATGTATATTCTAATAATGTTTTAACTGATAAATATAAGCAGTGAATAATTACAATAATATAAATATGCTGAAAACCATAGACAAATCTCAAAGAAACAAAGTTAAAGCCTAGGGTTCAATAGACAATTTGTTTTTAAGTTTAAGATTTTAATTTTAACAATATTTTTGCTTTGTTATAAGTAATTGGAATTGTATTCCTTACTAATTGCACATTATCTTACTTTAAATAACATGAAACACACCAAAATTGTAAGCAGGGAAAAAAAAGTCTACCTTGTTGACACTATCAGGGTAGTGCTGTGCCTCCAGACACAGACCAGCAAACTGGCCGTACTCTGCTCCACCTTTACCCTTCATGTTAGCTAACCAGTACGCTGTGTAGAACTGCATGCCTGGCTCCGTTGTGTACACATCCATGTAGCGTCCAGACTGTCCGTGTTCAACCCTGAAGATATTTATTTCAAAATAAAATCAACCATTTTAGGAACAACTTGTTCATTTTCAAACATTTACTTTCATCTACATTTGTATTAAGAAGATTGGATACACCTGGGGACAGTTTGAGCAACTAGCCCAGGACAGAGATGCCTGGAAAGCTCTTGTCAGCTGCCTATTTCCCAGGAGGGGCAACAGGCTAACCCAACCTAACATTTGTATTACCAATTTCTAATTTTAAATCAATCTTAGGATAAAATACTCTGGAATAAATATTCCTCCAAAAAAATAACTTCCAGCTTGAGTGGCCTACTTTAAGGCAAAACTATTTGAACAAATAAGTTTATTTTCTTATAATGTCTAAGTATGTTGGTTAACAGACAACTTTTCTTTTGTGTAATCTGTAATAAATCTTTCTAATATTTGAATTTTAATTGAGCACTGTTACTATGGCATATTGTTATCTAATAATTGTTTATATATGTATATTATAATATTTAAATGCATACTATAAATTTCAAGGCGATGTATACAGATGGTTCAATTTTATTTATATTTTTATTTTTCCTATTTTTCTAGACATACCTGGTTGCCAGCTTTAAAGCTCCATTGTTATCCAGACAGAAATTGATGTCAAAACCACGACCGTCCGCAACTTCTTTCAGTCTTTCCCCTAGGCTAACAGGCTGACGTAGATCATACCCAGAGCCAGCAACTGACCTAATTTCCCCTGAAAATATTTGCAAAATCAAAAACAGTACAATTAGCCTTACTACTCATAATATGCCAGAGAACTTATTTATTCTTTAAAATCATTGACACTTTGACATCAATAGTAATTTGTTCCAACTTATGGACAGAATAAAAATTGCAAGTTACCAGTAGGAATAGTGTTTTCGTTTAAGGGTAGATAACTATCTGCATGCATCGTGACTGTCAGATCATTGATATGACCGGTACCCTGAAAGATCATTTAAACTTACAATTTAATACAATTAAATAGTGATTCTAATCAAAACAAATTATTCAATGTAAATTTTGTTTTAAAATGTAATCCACAATGTTAACATGTGACTTACATGTCCAGCCAGATTAAAGTAGGCGTGGTTAGTAAGGTTGATGGGTGTGGCTTTTGTAGTTGTGGCAGTGTAATCAATAGATAATTTGTTATCATCATCAAAGCCATATACAACTGTGACAGTTAACTCTCCTGGGTAGTTCTCTTCACCATCAGCACTAACATATTTCAAGACTAATTTATCCTCTTTCACACTGGCTTCCCATACCTTCTGAAATTTATAAAAAGTTAATGTATTTTTTATCTTCAGCCAACACAAACTGTCATTGGGTATTTATTTTTATTTTTAGGGTAGAAAGTATATAAAGGTGTTTAGATTTACATGTTACAAAAATAAAAACCTCGCAATCATTATTTTATATACCTTTTACATAGTATTTAATAAAAAATTATTTTACTAACAAATGTAATGTTAAAACTAAATGTTCTTTTAGGTCAAATTAAACTTGGTTTATAACTTCCTTGAATAATTTGGTACATTTTAAATTGTTTATTAATAAAGTTAAAATGGAAAATATTTCAAATGTTCTCTCCTGAGGTAGATATAAAACGTTAACAATTATCAGAAGCATAGGTCTATATAGGGGAGATCAGGCCATACTGTGCTCTAAAATGGTACTTCATCTGTGCATTCTTAAACTAGTTTTTACTTATGTATTTTATTATATATAACAATCATCTGCATGTGTATGAAATTAATCCTCACAGCATTGTAACAATGAAGTGCCAAATAGGCCTAATATTATATAGTTATTTTTTTAGTGTTGATATCGTCTAAAATCAAATTTTGAGGTACAAAACATTTTTTAACACGTTTTTCTTAACTCAGCTTCGCGTTTATTTGTTTGTTTGTGGGTTTGTTGTTAAAATTGACATCGAAAATTAGCCCACTTCTGATTGCTCTAGAGATCTGAAATTTGGAATGCAGGCTATTTTCGCCTAACAATTTCAGATGCAATCATAAAAACTAGCAATTAGAGACCTAAATTAGCTTAATTAAATTACGCCCCAAGGACCATAAAATCGAGGACATGATTTCTAAACATACCGACAAGACTGGAGGCCTATTGACACAGTTACTTCGGCCCCAATCGATGTGAGCGCGCTGGCCGTGATCGTATAGTGGTTAGTACTTCGCGTTGTGGCTGCGACAACCCATGTTCGAATCCTGGTCACGGCATGTAGGCTTAATTAAATTACGCCCTTTATCTGTTTAATGCGTATCGGTCGCTCAAGATTTTTAGTCCGTGTATTTATAAACACTTAGTCAAGTCATACTTAATCAAGTCATTAGATAAAGTAGAAAATAAACTATATAAAAAACTTTTTAAAAAACCACGTTTTTCTTGTGGACTAAAAAGTAGAAAATAAATTTTTCTTTTGTGCTTCCTCGAGCTGTGCAGGTTCTTGTGATGACTGACAAAAAACGTGGGTCGGGCAGATGGGTCGGGAAATTTGATGGTGAACGTACCCACGAGGAAGCACAAAAGAAAAATTTATTTTCTACTTTTTAGTCCACAAGAAAAACGTGGTTTTTTAAAAAGTTTTTTTCAAGTATTTTATTTTATATAATGTTTGATGTAATTTCATCAGTTTTGGAAAAATCTTTGCAAAAACAAGCAATCAATTAAAATAACTAAAATGTAACTTTCATCTATTTACAAAAAACAAGGTGATCATTTTCTTAAGTATACTGACCTGATCAAAACCCACTTTACCACCATGAAGAGAATTGGGGCCATTGTTTATAAACAAATGATATGTCTCTCCGTCAAGAGTGAATTGACCGCCTGCTATTCTGTTGGCTACCCTTCCAATGAGTTTGCCTATATAGCCAGGCTTTTCTTCATAATCTGAAATTTTTGTTTTAAAACAAATCTGAGGGAATTAGATTTTGTTTATCCCTACCTTTACCTATAATCTAATTTTAGCCATAAACCTTAAAGAGACAATCCATAACTGTAGTTAGCATACAGCAGGTCCAAAGCATAAACTTGAAATTATCAACATATCAGATAGACCTAAAATGAAAACAGTTATGTTTAATGCTTGCCTGAAACAGAGTCAAAGCCCAGGTTTACATCCCCAATGTTTCCGTCTTTGTCTGGTACATTGATTTCTGTGATGATACCACCAAGATCCAGAATTCTGACACTGGCTCCGGATTTGTTACTCAATGTGTATCTGAAATCATTCATTTATAAATTGGCTATATATGGATATTTCAATTGTAGGTCTAAAATACATTTAGTCTGATTTAGATCCATATTTTACTACCTTCTCATTACTAATAAAATAAAGTTAGATCTAGTTAGTAATTAATAAAATATAAATTTTACTTTAAGATCTAAAGTAGATTATGATTAAAGATTCATAAAATAAATATACAACAAAAAATCTGTCTTCTTTAAAAGTTAATAATATTATTATTAAATATTATATTATTAATTAGATCTAAATTCTATAGGCTTAGGCCTATAATCAATCATTTTCAAATCAAGGCCTAAGTAATTAATTAGGCCTAGTCATTAGCCAAATACTATTTGAAATAGTAATAGTAAATAGTATTAAATACTAATAAATTAATAATAACGAGCCGGCCCGCGGCATAACATACGCCGCTATTTAGTTGTTTCTAATTTTCAATAATTCATAATTTGTGAATTCGACAGTACCAACGCTGACACTGAAAATATTTCTTTAAAACACTATAAGTAGCTCGTTAAGGACCATAACCCCCCCCCCCCCCTTCCTTCCCTCCCCCCCTCCCCCCCCCCCCCCTACGTTTAAAATCGTTGGCTCTGCTTGTAAACATTTAGAGTGAACACAGCTCACTAAAACCATGTAGGGGTGGGGAGGTAGGGAGAGGGTTTGCAGCTTGTTTTCTAAAGGCTCGAAGAGGAGAATTATATATATAGATTGAATAGCTTTAACTGATCTCTAGATCTAGTCTAGATCTAAATCTTTATTCATTTATTATACAGTTAGCTTTAGTAATAGACATAGGCCATGGGCCTAATTGAATTTATTAATCATTAGGCCATTAGTATTAGGCCTAGTATTCATTAATTAGTAATAATCAGGCCTATGCCTAACTGTTATTATTTATGGTATAGATAGATCTAGTATTAAACTTAAATTAATAAATAAAGTTATAAATTACTTAAAAGTAAAGTTAAAGTAGTTACTAGTACTAATATTAATATTGTAAGTAAAGTAGAGTAGGCCTACTAAAAAAGTTTAAAAATTAAAACTAAAGTAAGTCACTGAACTAAAAATTATAAAAAGCACCTTGTTACTTTGCGGCCGTCTTTCGTGGTACCAAATTCATCGGAATTAATAGTGGACATTTTAGTAAAAATAAATTAATGCAATGTGTGTCAACTTTTGTTTATTCGTTCTGTATCTTGGATCTTGGTTAGGTCAAGTGTTTGTCGGAGTGGGTTGAGTGAGATGTATTTAGTGAAAAGGTCAAAGGTTATTATTTTTTGTTTTTGTACCGGCACTGCACTGTATTGACATGCCAGAAAGGCCACTGTATTATTTAATTTACTTATATATAGTAATATGGTACAGTTGTACTTATCAAACAAATTACATATCAAACTTTTATTAAAGCTGGATTCTATAGCTACTATTATATGTTTAAAAATTACGTTGTTATAGATCTAGTATTTATTCAACTCTAGAAATCGCACAAACATGTAATATATGATACATTTTCGATGTCCTTTCTACAATACTAATACTTCGACTGTGTATCATACAGACTAATACAGCTCACGATAATCTTTTTTGCCCCCTAGATACTCCATGATTGCAACAGGGAGTTGCTAGAAATGTTATTCTGGTTACAGATTATAGGCTAATGTATAGGCTATAGAATATACATAGATTTATATAAAGATTTATGAGGGTGTGATGGTTATATTTTTTTTTAAATTGTTTGTATCTTGGCAAGTTTAATGCTCCGGGGCATGGGAAAGAGGGGGGGGGGGTAATTTCGACAGTGAATTTTATGATTTATCGAATTGGTGTCACTCCTATAAATGGCAGATGTTTCTGTCTGCTCAGCATATAGAGAGAGTTGTGGTTACCACTATATGTCAAGCCGTCTTGACTTTCTCTAACGTGAGTCAGTTACCCACTAGAACTGGATGGACTCACGAATGTAGCCTACTAATAAGGACTAGAGTCCAAGTTTTTTTTTAAATAAAGAATAAAATGAAAAAGAAATACTTAAAAAAAAAGAAATTGAATTTTAGGATAAGACGAGAGAGCAGAAGATTATATAATTTGGGGGGGTGGACATTTTAGGATGATGTGCAGAGTTTCTTTCAAGCACCTCGTGAGGTGGCCAATCCCCCCACCCCCTCTGAACGAAATAGAATTTATATAGAAAATATATACTTTTACCAGTGACCCCCCCCCCCTTATGATGTCGAATGTGTGGAGGTCTGAGGAGGTTAAAAATAGACACAAAAAGCTGGGTGTCATTCAATGACTCTAACCTAATCTCCATTATTCAGAGCACTCTCTACCTAGCTGTAAGTTTGACATGTAAATTTGCGTGGATGCACAAGTAGCCCGTAGCCTAGATAGTTAGGTCGGAATAATAAGGGTGCTTTGTTTTAAGACTACCATGAAGATCTTTTGAGCATCTTTAAATGTGTGCATGGACATGGGTGTGGGGAAATTGCGAGACGCGAAAAGCGAAATGGCGAGGCGGGAAAATGCGAGAAGGGCGCGAAAACGGTCGGTCACGTGACTTTTTTGTCTCGCATTTTACCACAACCCGATACTTACGCTGGGTAGTGTTGACATGCGAAGATTTCTGCGAAAAATTTACCGCACCCGATATTCAGTGGTATTTGGTCCAGACTTCAAAGATGTTTCGTTTACATTGTTAAAACTTCCGATTTTTCCGTCGCTAGACATACTGATGATTTGTCAACTCCCCCCATCTTTTGTGTCGACTTAGAATACCACCTTGTTCGAAACCGACGGAAATACCGCCGACGATAGATCAACTTCTGTCTTTTGTGTGGAACGCCGAGGCCGCCTGATTTACCGTCTTTGAAGATCGCCGTGCCCGGATCCGCTGCCGCCGCAAACATATTTTCTATTGTTGCATAGAAATTTTGTATTATAGCCGCCGCCTACGATTTTTTTCTAGCTTTTTTTACCATATAAATCTAAGCACAAGGAAATGCCTACATCATTTGGATACACTAATTTATATTAGATTTTATATCACGGTTGTGACTTTTCCAAATTTTCCCATAAATGTTATATTATTATTTATTAATTAATTGTAAATATATATAAAAATTTATTATTTATTATTTCCATAAATAAGTCAGAAAAAATAACATCAAATTAAGTATGCAGTTACTGCCCTATGTGAAGGCGAGGACTAGATTAACCCTCCCTTATGTGTTGCTTATTCCTAAGCTTTTATGAACTCTTAATGCCCCCCGTTTTTTTTCTCTTACTTACTGTTTGGGGAAAAAATAAAGTGACGTCACCGATATTATCAGTTGCTCGTGCTATATCGTAAGCTATGGGCCTACTTCAAATATTTTTAAAACCAAGTTGAACTTATCTGAATTTTTTGGTTTTGGTGGTGGTGTTATTTTGGGGTCTTCCATAAATGACTTTTTGCAAGTACAAAAATCCATAAATAGATGTTGCAAAATATCTCTCCTGCTGACAAGATTATACCAATTCACAATGACACAGCTCACGTTTGTATAAACATGAGCGGGCTAGATTTTTAAATTAATGCTGACTGAGACGGGATTTTCCTCTTGCTAACAAGAGCGGGCGATGACAGTAGCACAGCAACGATGTTAGGATTTTTAAATAGATAGATCTAGATATAGATCTATCTATCTTCTTAGTATCTAGATAAAAAATAACAACATACAACACTCGTGTTAAAGGGTATGGCTAAATGCTTGTTTATTTTAAAACAAAAAAAAATAATTTAAATAAATTAAGATGGAAAAAAAAGAAAAAAACTTTTTTCGCAAAAAGTGTCTCGCTATTTACCCTTAATTCCGCAGGTATGTCTCGCATTACCTTCTCGCATTTTCCCGCCTCGCCATTTCGCTTTTCGCGTCTCGCAATTTCCCCACACCCCATGGACATATAACATTTACTGACATGTATAATGATATCATTATAATGTGCATTTTTTATAACACCCAGTGATAAAGTAACATTTGTCTATTTAATACTTTGAAAAACTACTGTAGTATTAGTAAACAGTACAAATATATATATATATATATATATATTTATATATATATATATATATATATATATATATATATATATATATATATATATATATATATATATATATATATATATATTCTGGCCCTTACGATGACTATTTTCTGTACTTTTGTTGACATTCAAATTACACCTAATATCTAATGGTGCTATTTTATAGGTAGAATATGTTAACAGATTTGGTTAAAAAATGTAATAAATTATATATATATATATATATATATATATATATACCTATATAACCTTCTAGCAGTGTCAGATAGAGGTACATGATACACGAGCCTACTATAACTTTTATAAGGCTACATTTTAGCTAGCCAGAATTCCATAACAATTAAATTGAATAGCAAGGTGTAAGAGTGGTCTTTCCTTTTTTAACAGTTGAAAAAATGTGACATCAACACTTAATCAAAGTTGGTTACAGGCCAAACAGATTGAAACAAAGACTAAAAAAAAATGTTTCCCATTTTATTCTGATTACAACAAATTGAGCAATTCAAAGCTTTCTGATTATAACTGTAATTAAGAAGCAGGCCTAAGGATGTGACATAAACAAAACAACACTGGTTTCACTGTAAACTGAGTGACTTGTACATTTTTAGGTAAATTTAGTTAGCGAAAAAATCTACTACATAAATTAATCAATAGCTGATGGTTGTAATCAAAATAATGTAATAATTATAATTAATGTGAACATTGTAATTCTTGCCTTACCAGTAATGAAATTAAAAAAAAATTGCAAACACATTACATTTAGCCTACATTGTCAAGACAATATGTTCAAAGAAAAGTTGTAGAACAAATAACAATACTTTTAGTACATTTTAAATCTCAAAAAAAAAAAACATTTGACATTTGTATTTCTGATTTTTTTTAATAGTTGAGATAAAAATAACTAACATATAATGCTTTTTAATAATTGTAGATGAAAAAAACTATTCTAAATGACTAAATTGTTTCAATCAAACATTTGTAGCATCAATATATAAAACCTTAAAGCTATATCATATCATGCAGCTGCACCAAATATTTTACAGAAGACCAAAGTGGTAAATTGTCTTTTGGGTGTATGTTTCACCAGGTCGTAGAATAGAGTTTGGAAACTGTGGCTGGAATTGGATGACAAAAAGCTACTTTTATTGTGTCATAAATGATTAACAAATGTACATACAAGGTAACTTGTCATAAATGAGGAACAAATTAACCTTTTTGAATTAAAAATAAAAAAAAACATTGTTTCAATCTCAGCGGTATTTTTGTACAATTTTTGAGAAATAAAATAATGGTATAGTAAAAATGTGTACCTTATTAACGCTGTCAGGATAGTGCTGTGCCTCCAACACATAGCCAGCAAATGGGCCATAGTCAACTCCGCCCTTACCCTTCATGTTAGCCATCAAGTAGGAAGTGTAAAACTGCATGCCAGGCTCAGTGGTGTAGACATCCAAGAAACGTCCAGTCAGTTTGTGTTCAAATCTTCAGGTATGGACAAAAAAAAAAAAAATTAATTATTTACAACATAGTCTAGATAGTTCATGTACTTTACAGTTTTCTGATAACATTTTGAACAAGGGCATTATCCAATTATTAATTCCCTACTTTACTAATCTACACTGGGGCTAACAATCATGAGCTTTATGCTCCTGTAAGTTTAAAATATTGGGGCTAAGAGACATGAGCTTTGTGCTCCTGTATGTTTAAAATATTGATAAGGATTTATATAGATAATATAGATAAGGATTATGAACTTGGTGGATTTTCTTTTTAAAACAGGCAACTTTTTGTGTAATAGTTTAAAAAACTAACAATTAAATATTTGATTTTAGAGAAAGATAATTTAAAACAAAACAAGTTTGTAGACTTGGCTGAACTAAATGTTTTGTATATTATATATACAAAAAATCTTACAATTAAATGACATCAGTATTGCATACCTGGTTGCCAGCTTTAAAGCTCCGTTGTTATCCAAACAGAAATTGGTGTCAAAACCCCGACCCTCTGAAACTATTTTTACCCTTTCACCCAAATCGACTGGTTGACGTAGATCATACTCAGTGCCAGCAACGGGTCTTATTTCTCCTGCAAAAATTTGTCATCACAGTTAATTACACTTAAACTAAAACAAATGACAACATTTATAAAGGTAATTTTGTTTTTTAAGAGTAAGATTTTTTAGCAATAGGTTTTATCAACTTTAATGTTCTAATTTTATCAACTTTGCTCTATGCTTTTGTTTTACAATGTAGTAAAAAACATGTAATATGTAAAAAATCAAAGATACCTGTGGGAATAGTATGTTCATCTAAAGGTAGGTAAGTCTCAGCATACATTGTAATTGTCTGACCATTGAGATGACCCGTGCCCTTGAAGATCACTTAAAAATTAAAAAACATTTCAAAAACCTTATATAAAAGTAACACTAATGTAAACAATCAACTTACGTGTCCAGCAATGTTATAGAAGGCGTGGTTACTGAGGTTGATGGGTGTGGCTTTTGTAGTTGTGGCAGTGTAATCAATAGATAATTTGTTATCATCATCAAAGCCATATACAACTGTGACAGTTAACTCTCCAGGGTAGTTCTCTTCACCATCAGCACTAACATATTTCAAGACTAATTTATCCTCTTTCACACTGGCTTCCCAGATTTTCTGTAACAAAAATATTGTTAAAATATTAAATACTTGTGTTTATCAGTTGACATAAAGTGTTGTATCAATATACATTTTTTTTAATCCTTAGATTTACAAACACAAATCTAACATCACAATCACAAACAAGTCTCACAACTAAAATCTATCAATTGAAAATTGAAATTTCAAAATAAATCTAGTTATCAAATATTTATTCTTTTTTTTAAATATTGTTTATTATAATCATTATTAAGTCCTTTACAACATATACATAGAATTTGTGTCCATTCTATTTTAAATCATAGTATACTTTTAAACTGATCTCATACAAAATGTCGCAAGCCAACAGATAATCTAGAACAGAAATAAATCCAACTAAATTTTTAACTTTCAGCTTAATCTGGAAAACATATGGTAGTGTAATTTATATGAAATATACTGACCTTGTCAAAACCTACTTTACCACCGTGCAGAGCATTGGGGCCATAGTTTATACACAAATTATATGTTACTCCATCAAGAGTGAATTGGCCACCTGCTATTCTGTTGGCTACCCTTCCATTGATTGCACCAAAGTAGCCAAACTTTTCTTCATAATCTGAATGTAATTTTGTCCTTATTTTTAATCAAATGAACAAACCGTTTTTTACAATTAGTTTTTTCTTTATAAACCCATTTCATTATGCCAGGATAAAGTAACTTCAAACTAGTGGATACTAATAAACTATGTAGCCTTTCTGGAAGTATAAAACTATTTTTACCTTTAGCACATCAATCAAAATGTTTTTATTTTAGTTTGAAGAGCAGTGAGAAAAACATAATGAAGTGGGAAGTAATGGGTACAGATAGCATGTTATGAAGTGAACAGGATTTCTCTAAAGTCTAAAGAGTGAGTCAAAGCCTTTATGGAGCTGAACTGAAAGGCATAAGATTTTAAAGGATTCTGAGCAATAACTATATTATAATGAGATCTGGGGGGGGGGGGGGGGGGGGGGGGGGGGGGGCATTTCATGGTTTTGTCCCACCTCACCCTCACTCCCCCAATACTTTTGAAATTTTTTTTCGAAAAATTAGTAATAGTATAATAGGCCTACAACTATCAAGATTTACCAAATATTTTGCTTATTTGTGAAATTTATTATACTTTATTTAAGTTGATTTCCAATCATTTATTTATATTTTTATTGCTATGGACTTTTATGAGTTGAGACCAAGCCTATAAATAAATAATAGAGGCCCTAAATAAGAGATGACTAAATTGAAATATTACCTGAAACATTATCAAAGCCCCAGGGTTACATCTCCTAAGTTTCCATCTTTATCTGGTACATTGATTTCAGTGATAGTACCACCAAGATCCAGAATTTTAACATTGGCTCCTGATTTATTAGTCAGGGTGTATCTGAAACCATTATTTTTTTAAATGACTATACAAGCATATATACATACATACATATATATATATATATATATAATATATATATATATATATATATATATATATATATATATATATATATATATATATGTATGTATATATACAGGGGCGTAGCGAGGGGGGGGGGGGCGGGGGGTGCGGACCGCACCAGGTGACACCATTTAGGGGGGGGGGTGACACCAAGACAAAAAATTAGCAAAATAAATTGAGAAAAACTTGAGGGGGGGGGGGTGCAAATCGAAAACTTGAGGGGGGGGGGGTGCAAATCGAAAATTTGAAAGTTTGTAACCGGGAAGGGGTCGCTACGGGTGACACCCGACTTCGCTACGCCACTGTATATATATATATATATATATATATAATATATATAAACTGTGGGTTCTATGATACCATAATAGCATATTACTTTTTATTGTGGCCTATACTTGCACTTTCTTTTTTCCAATTTGATGCTGCTTACTAATTTTTTTTTAAATTTTGTTAACTGTTTTAGTTATCCAAAAGAGGTCGGATTTTAATTTCATCTGTAAGTAAAGTTAAGCTTAACTTTGAAGTAAGCTTGTTAAATTATATTTGAAATATATATCTACAAGTTTAAAAAAAACACAAATAAATGTAGTAGCATAACATGAATTAGATTAAAGAATATATAGCACCTTGTTACTTTGAGGCCTTCTTTAGTACTCCCAAAATAATCGGATACAATTTTGGTCATTTTGCTAAATAAAATATTGTAGAATCTAGATCTAGGTCTAGATCTAGCAAACTCTAGACTTTTTATTATATTGGCCTAGCAGTGTATTCCGTTTACAATCTTGGGTTTTTTTTTAGCTTGTAATCAAATCTTAAGTTTAAGAAAGACCAAAGTTTTAACAGTTTCCGCCCCCTCCCCCCCCGAAGAAAATCTACCCCCCCCCCCGAAAATTTCAAGTGCCCCCCGCCCCCGCCCCCCCCCCCCCCCCCCCCCGGAGAAAAAGTCTGGAAGAAACACTGAGGAAGAGCTGTTGGCGCAATTTTTTTCAGGCATATCTTCGAAGCAGCGGAGTTCCAGGGGGGGGTGTAATAATAATTAAAAAGCTCATTTTTATCTGCATTACTCAGAGGCGTAGCGCCCGGGGACAAACTTTCGATTTGCACCCCCTCCCAAACTTTTGATTTGTACCCCCTCTCAAACTTTCGATTTGCACCCCCCCTCAAACTTTCGCTTTGCACCCCCCCCCTCAAACTTTTGATTTGCACCACCCCCCTCAAACTTTTGATTACTTTTTCCAACCCATTGGCGCCCCTGCCCCCCCCCCCCCCCCCCCCAATCGCTACGCCTCTGGCATTACTGAATTATACACAAAGCTAAGAAATAACATCTGCTGTTTTCACTATCAATTCTGTTACGCCATAATAAAATGGGACAATGACTGGTAGAAAGCACCCCCGGCCATTCCAAATGGGAAGGGCTTATTGCCCAAGGTCAGGTATATAAATTGGGAGGGGGGCATGAAATCTGATAGTTCGCCCCCAGTGTTTCTTCCAGCCTTTTTTTCTCCTTGGGGGGTGGGCACTTGAAATTTTCGAGGGGGGGGGGGCGAACTAAAATTTTCGGACACTGTTAAAAGTATACATTTTCTATATAAATTATATTACGTTCGGGGGGGGGGGGGGGCCTCCCCGCCCCCCTCGAAGGGTCGAGGCTGCCTGGAAGAAACTGTTAGTCCCGGGTTGCTGCTCCTCTGTCCAGGGTGGACCCGTCCCCTGCACAGACGTAGAAAAACGTGCTATCTGTGCAGAGTGTTAATCTCGCGACGAGATTCGGTATTCTCCCCTGGTCGGTCGCACCACTTAGTAAGATAAGGTGGTAGAGTAGATAGGGTTGAGGGGGGGGGGGGGTCATACACAGGCTTACAGAGTCGGGACTTACTAGAACAGACAACACGTGACCTTCGTGATTGACCAATGAGATTACTTTTCGTGTGTAGTGGCAGCAATAAGGAAAATTACAACACTTAACGTACTAAAATTATTATAGTAGGCTAATTTGTATGTAAACACACAAAAGCATCAGAAATCGGAATTGGTTATTGTTAGACATTTTAACTACACTGTGATTGTATCTGTTTTTCACGGGTTTTCACTTACATAGTTCATGTTCATAGTAACAATGAAGATGCCAGTATGCAATATATACAAATGATAGACGTGCTACT